TATATATATATATATATTTAAATCAAGTTGGCAAGTAGAAGTATTTATGTTGATTACATTTTTTTGCGAAAATTTGGAGAACAGTCTGTTGGAAATTTTATATTATTTAATAATATTTAATTTCTAAAGTGAATGAAGTAATTAATTTACATTCATATTAGCAAACGATTTTAGTGTTCTTTAGCACTGACACAATTTTCTGTTTTTTTTGTTTTTGTTTTTGTTGATATAAATACAGTTTAAAGAAAGTGTTTCTCAGTTTGCACAAGAACACATTGCCCCTCATGCGTCAAAAATAGACCACACAAATTATTTCCCTCAGGAGGTGAACTTATGGAAACTCATGGGAGATTTTAATCTTCATGGAATTACTGCACCAGGTAGACTTTCATCATGTTATGTAAGAGCTTTTCTAACTACAGTTAGTTTAAACTCTATTGGGGTTTGAATGTCTTATCGTTTTTGTTTTAATTCGTGTTTGTGTACAGAGGCAATTTTGGTTGTGGATGTGATGCTATGTGGGTGTTGCTCTTTGTTTTAGGAAGCTTCCCCTTTTTTTAATTGAAAATAATATAAATTTTTTGTTTGGATGTGCTTCTACCCGCGATATTTTTGGGCCTCAGTTGTTAGGATCACTAGTTCTTACTTACATGACAATTTTTTAGCTATTATAAATTTGTAGTCTAGCATGCAGTATGATAGAGAAATAAAATGTTCCAAGAACATCTTAATATGTAGCATGTGTTGGCCCCCTCACCTCCTTTGTCATACGAGATGTCCAACCTATTTTGAATTGGAAGATGGAATTACTATTCCAAGGCTATGATCAAAGATCATACTTTATTTGCAATTCATGCAGGATGCAGTTGTCTTGTTAGAAACTATAAACCTCTCATTTCTTTGTGCATTTGATTGAATAATCTGCAGTTTCATGGGTTTAGAAACTTGACCATGGGTTGTCTTGTAGAGGAATATGGAGGGCTTGGTCTTGGTTACTTGTATCACTGTATAGCTATGGAAGAAATAAGTCGTGCTTCAGGGTCTGTTGGTCTCTCATATGGTGCTCATTCTAACCTGTGCATCAATCAATTGGTAAACAAACGAACTGAGTTCATCTGTGACAGCATTTGCGCATATCTGATAAACTTGTACTTTTTTATTTGGTAGGTGAGGCATGGAAACCCTACTCAGAAACAGAAGTATTTGCCAAAGGTTCTACCTTCGTTTGATTCAATTTTATGCATACCAGTGTAGTATTTACAATTTTACAGGCATGCTTAATTAGAGATGAAGAGTTCTGGCGGATTCCACTTATCTCTGCTATGATGATTATCTTATTATTTATAATGATAATGATGATTATTTATCCAAAATGTGCATTGCAATCATTAGCATGTAGAGAATTTTGACATCTCTCTTCATCATCAAACTGAATTTCTTTTATAGAACTTTGTTCCTCATGTGTTATTGCTTACTATTTCGGTTGCCGTCACATCTTCAAGCACTAATTTATTTAAGCTGCTTCAGCCAATTAAGCATGAGATCATCAATGATTTCTGACCCAGAAGTTTGCAATGGTTTCCTATATGATTGGACTCTTACTTTTCATCTACTAGGTGGACAAGCTGTTTTTCATATTTGTATGTTTTAATTGCACTTATTGTCATTCATTGTCATCACTCTGTAGTCAGATTTACCATATCTTTTATTTGTTGTTCTCTCAAGTTTTGTGGGGGAAGGAGAGGAATGGAAGATGGTGTGGCCTAATGCTGGGCTTGTAAATTCTGTAGGGATGGCTGGATAGTTTAGTTGAACAAAATTTTAGGAACCAGTCAAAAGTATCTATCTTTCTGGAGAAGAAAAAAAGTTAGATTACTTGAGTATGGCTCATAGTCACTAATATACTATGGCATGTGACATGCATATCCTGATGAGTGTTAGGAGAATTTAATCATGCAGTCTGCTAATTATTTGGTTTTGAATACATTTTAACAGTTTTTGTGTGGGCTATACTAATTAAATAAAACTTTAGTGATTTTATTAATAAAATACTGATCAGAAAACTTCCTGGGTAGCTTGATATACCTTTTTCCTTCTTCTCTTATCTTCCAACCCATTAAGTAGGTATTATTTATGTCACATGAAATCATCTTTCTTCTGTTCTAGAGTCTTTCTTAATTAGTTAATTTCAATTTCTTTCCTTTTTGATTGACAAAGTCTCATCTTTCATTCTGTAGCTTATCAGTGGCGAGCATGTGGGGGCTCTTGCAATGAGTGAACCCAATTGTAATTTATGTGCATTACACTTCTTTCATCTTACACTTAAATTCTGAGTATTATCTAGGTTCATTTAAGGTAATTAGGCTGATCTCTCTCTCCCTCTTTCTCTCACTCTCTCTCTCTCTCTGCAGCTGGTTCTGACGTTGTTAGCATGAAGTGCAAGGCTGATCGTGTAGATGGGGGTTATGTCTTAAACGGGAACAAGATGTGGTGTACCAATGGCCCAGTCGCTCAAACATTGGTATGTTTTGTTAGAATTGCTTTAGCTAAGCATGGATATTACTACCCATATGCTTCTCTCCCTCTCTCTCTCTCTCTGTGTGTACATGGCAGGGGGGTGTAAGTGCACTCATCTGTTGCTTGTATTGTATGCTCTGACCGTTGGATATTTGTCAAATTTACTTTTTGTAGCCATAATGAAAACTGTCTAATATATATGCAAGAGTAGAATTTGTCTGACTTGTACATATATATTATTTTTATGTAGTTTGTGCTTAGAGCATCTTTTCCCAGGAATGTGAGAGGTTTAAGTGGTTCCGCTCAAGAAAACCCTTATTTTTGGGAAAAATGGTGGCTTGGCCTCTGCTTGTAAGGTTCAGGGTGGGAAATTAGATAGAAATTTCGTCACGAAATCGGGTGTCGGTGTCCCGAAACGTCCAGTTCGTTGAGGGCTTCGTTTGGGTTTGTCTAGGGTGTTGGCTTGTCCTGGGTTTTCTTTGTGGTCTGTGGGCGCTGGGTTGTTTTGTTTTTTAGTCTGTTTCTCTGTCTTCTGTGGTTTCCTTATCCACTGCTGTATTTTGCTCCTATCTTAATACATTCGTTTCTAAAAAAAAAAAAAAAAAAAAAAAAGTGAGAGGTTTAAGATTTCGTATGGCTTACTCTGGGAACCTATTGAATAGGCTAATGCACAAGATGTCTCCTGATGCAGTCTCTAGATGACCATTGAGAACCATTCCATGAATAATCTCGAGGATGATTCTGTCATCATTGAATTGCAGCAGATGTGGACTTTCTTTGTTTAATATCCCAATGTTTTAACTTACACATGTGAAGGACTAAGTTTTATAACTAAGTTTTATTACTATGATTGCTATCAGGTGCAGCTCTCAATGATATGCATGCTATACTATGTCAGCCTATAATTGTAAACATTTACATTGGCCCACATTCATTAGGAGTTATGTTTTAGTGGTTATACTAGTACTGCATTTTCAGAGCAGTGTCTTTAGCATACTATTTCATTTTGACAGTACTAAAGGCTCTGTATCGCTATATCATATTAATATTTCTGTAGCGTGTACATACATATATGCATGCACATGTGAATTTATCATCTCATTTACCTGATATTTAGAGTTGGATCAGGTTGTTTATGCAAAAACAGACATAACAGCGGGCTCAAAAGGAATTACAGCATTCATCATTGAGAAGGGAACACCCGGGTAATTAATTGTGTCAGACGACTCTAATACGAACCCGACCTGTTTATTGATCAAGTTGTTTGTGTTAACCCGTGTATTTTACAAGTTAGAAACTAAGTATTAGGAACTTTAGGAACTTAAGGAATTTTTGGATCCACAACATTTATTAGATCAAGTACAATGACGATCTTTTCTCTAAATTTTAGTTAGGTCCCTCCTTCAGTAATTTGTTTGCCCAATTTTATAGGTTGCTTGTACATTTTTCAAAAAGTTCTGCTAGCACTATTATAATGTTGAAGCATTAAACATAATTACTACTACATTTACTTAAAGTTTAAAATACTTTACTTTCATTCTACATATCCATTTTACATTCATATATATAGGGTAGAAACAAGATCAATGATGAATTTAAAATAATGTAGAAACAAGATATGTAAAGGATAAACTTAATTAAGCATTTTAGTAGAAGTGGGTGGAATAGAAGCACTCCGTATAACTCTATAGTGCTCTTAGGCGACATCGCAGCCCTAAATGATCCCAAAAGATGTAAGCAGAAGAGAAGAAAATGAAGCCTACTTGCAATGCATAAAATCAAACCATAATAACAAAATGCATGATGAATATTTTGAATTCCCTCACTTTTATGAAGTTATTTATGCCTCAATGCAGGTTCAGTACTGCTCAGAAGTTAGACAAACTCGGCATGCGAGGAAGTGATACGTACGTCCAGAATGCTTTAAGTGAAGTTGTCTAGTTTGGGAGTACATTCCCTTCTTCGTTCTCTCTTTTTCTACTAATAGTGGCAATGGTCTGAGCAGATGTGAACTTGTCTTTGAGAATTGCTTTGTTCCAGAAGAAAATGTTCTTGGGCAGGAAGGAAAAGGTGTAGTGATACTTGTATTTACAACTTTCATTATTGGAAGGAGATCATTTGGATACGTTGCATGTTATATTACTTAGCAAGCAATGATATGTTACATATATTGAATCTGATTGCTCATCTATCTTATGGCTTTAATTTGAACCTTCTGAGCTGCTCTTTACTATTACGGTTGTCAGAACTCACTGTTAGAGCAGAACGAAGTTGCTTTTGGGCTTATTCTTCCGTCACTGTAACTGCTCAGCCATACTCGTTTTGGTAACATATGATGAACTTAGCTATGCCAAGAGTTTTCTGTTATAGCACCGACCTCCTATAGTATCACCTAAAGCAGTTAGAAGGACTTTCTTATCCTAATTTGAGTGATAAGTTGATTACGCTTTGAATCTTGAAACTAATTGCTTCCCGGGGAAATTCTTGTTGAGGGAATGTAGATACCATTGATATTGGAATAACAAGTGGAATCTTTAGGAGTTTCTTTTTTTTGGGGTCATTTATCCTATGTACTTAGTATGGGTAGCAAAAGCATCTTATGCAGTCATGATTCTGGTTCAACCTGCATTGTTATTGCCCTTTCTTTCAGGTGTCTATGTCATGATGTCCGGATTGGATTTGGAGAGGCTTGTTTTAGCAGCTGGACCCCTGGGCATTATGCAGGCATGTATGGATGTTGTCCTTCCTTATGTTCGACAGAGAGAGCAGTTTGGCCGTCCAATTGGAGAGTTTCAGCTTATACAGGTTTATTGTTGTATTTACACAACTTAAGTTGATGTTTCTAGCTCCTGTTTGTACTTAAATTGTAGCCTTTATGCTGTTAACGAACTTGAAATTACAGGGGAAAATTGCTGACATGTATACTGCTTTGCAATCATCAAGGTAAAAAGATTTTTATTCCTTTATCACCGCTTTTCTTTGTTTATTTCTTGTAATATTCACCTGGTAGCAGAGTTAACCATTTCTCTCTTTTTGTCCCCCCTTCATGTTCAGGTCCTATGTGTATTCTGTTGCAAGGGAGTGTGACAATGGAAAAGTTGACTCAAAGGTGCTGTTGGGGTTTCTGAATTTTTTTCCTTCACTTAAGTTATAATTTTATCAGTTTTAGCATTTGGCAAAAAAAGCTTTGGCTTAGGCAAATAATAACTCTTCTTGATACAAATTTTCAGGATTGTGCTGGAGTTATACTCTGTACGGCTGAAAGAGCCACACAGGTAGCTTTGCAGGTAAAAGATCCTGGATAAATTCCATTCTATCTCTTATTTTTGCAAATGAGTAATTTTTAAACATAAACCCCAGTCAGGCCAACCAATTTGGTCTTAGTTGAATATACAAATCATATTCTACATATTGCTTGAATGGCATGGCATAGTATAGTTCATTATTTCCATTCACATGGTTAAGTCTATTTTGAATGTTGCAGGCTATACAATGCTTAGGCGGTAATGGTTATGTAAATGAGTACTCAACTGGTCGTTTCCTTCGAGATGCCAAACTATATGAGATTGGAGCAGGGACTAGTGAGATCAGAAGGATGATAATTGGTCGTGCGCTATTTAAGGAGCAGTGAGAGACTGATGTCCAGTTGCTGAACTGCGATAATCCGCAATACTCAAGCACTGTATCCAGGATACACCTGATGTTGCAGTCAATCATTTAAGTTTACTTCACACACATATTTCGGAATACAGAATCAAGAAAGGTTTGAACCCAAATGTACACTGGTTTATCCATGATAGCAGAAAAAATGGCTGACTTAAATAGATTGATCTTCCTGGCATTAGACGAGAACCAGAGTTTTCTTCTGGTGATTAAGAAACTAAATTGAGAAATTGAATTTCTTTTTTTCACTCTTGCTGGAAAATCATACTCAATTTTATGTACTCTAAAGTCTAAACCATTGTCGGAAATAAAAGAGAAGCCTTGTTTGGTGGTTGTTGTTGCGTAGATACAGCTGCACCAAAATGGATTAAGCTGCATCCTCAACTTGTGATACTCGCAAGTGCACGAGCCGTTCGGTAGTATAGCGTATGTAAGTGCGAGGTCGATCCCACGAGGATTGGTGATTGAATGATTCAATTCATTTTTCCTACACAAAACAGAAATGAAAAAGAAATGAAATAAATAAAACAAGGAAGAAAGAAATAACTAACTCAAGCAGATAAGTTCCCAAGTTCAATTAGATTAATGGATTGATTCTAGCTAAAGTATGATTAAGCCATGGTGTGTGGTCATAACCTTGTGTTCCTAATTCCCTAATTTGATCATTTGTTGTCTAACCTAAAATTAAGCATTAGGAACCCATTAAGCATAGAAGAACAATTTAAACAACCAAGCATGTATCTAATCCCTGTTGTCGAATGTCCATACATACTCTTCCTATTCATAGTTCAATTCGAATTAAAGCATGGTGTATACTCTTAATTCAAACCAAGATAG